CTTCGATAATAATTTTTAACGTTTTATTGATTTTATTTGAGAAAAAATTCTTCTTCGCTAAGTATTTATAATATGAATTATCATTTATTATAATGTATATTATTTCGTGTTTATTATCAAAAATAGCAATAAACCGATAAGAAATGTATGAAATAATTATTACGTAAACAAACGATAGTGTTTCAGTCGGTGGCAATGTTCCGATGACGTCGATAAGCACCGTTCAACGTTGCCTCTGAAATTTGTATTTATGTACATCAATTACACACACACTATCGTATGAACACGCAACTGTTAAATAACTAGAATTGCGCAGGCGCAATGATCATCGTGAGGCCCGATTATAATCTCCCATGTGTACTAAAAATAGATGCAGTATACTGGTATTATGGTCAACCCGCAGTTAACGTAAAAACGTAAATACATAATCAGTTATTATTGTTATAGCCAGGAGTCGGGACAGCCCTAATTAAACCGTTGTAAATTGTTATATTAATTTATATTCCTTAATTCTGTCTTGTTCGAATCGTCGGTTGTGTTGGACGCTGATAGATATACAATTATAATTATTTTTATGTTTTTAAATTCCATTTACTGTGAATTCTAATTTTTGTTATGAAGGGGGGGAGGTAAAGGTATATTTTAGGGGATTGGCGAAGGAGGCAATCGCCCTCTTCTGAATCCGTATTTAAGGAATCGATCATATGTGAAATAAACATTTCAAATTTTTTTAATGTGGATCATTTTATAACGATACCTAGTGTCCATATCAGGGTACTAAAACGTTTTTATAACATTATAACTTATAAGTATAACGTTAAATTATTCAAAAAGCGATTGAAATGGATAACAGAACGAAATAGAAATGAAAAACGATTAAAATTAATATTGAATAACATCAGAAAACGATTAATGATTGAAACATAAAAGAAATTACCATGGAAAAATATTTATAACTCAGTAAAATAGATTTGAACAGTGCCGCAACTACAATAACTTGGCCCCAAGTGTAAGTAAAATTAATGCCCTTCCCGCATCCGGACTCTGCAAGGAAACCGTACCGTATTTCTAACCAAATTATTTTGAATTTCGATTATACAGTGTGTAAAAGTAACATTGATGTACGATAATGTGTACAAGACAAAATCAATCATTTTTCAATCTCCATAAGTAATTATTATTAAAAAATGGTTTTATTTTCTTGCTTTCTACATATTTTTAAAATATTACCATTGGGCCCTATTATAAGCTAGGATCATGGGCCTGTGTGTTTGACACACGCAACACACCCGGCTATTGCGGCACTGGATTTGGAACATAGTTATTTTTGTAAAATTGACTTAAATTACTTTTTTTTTTCCGGCTTTACGATCCATTGAGGATCTTTACCGCCAAAACTATCTCCTCCCATTTCTCTCTATCTTGCGCTATGATTTGCCAATTCGTCCTAACTTCTTGGCCTACCGCATTCCATATTTCATTTACGCTGTCTATCCATATTCTTCGGGGTCTTCCCCTTGGTATTTTCGCTGTTGTCGTCCAAGTCATAATTTTTTTTATCAGGCATCCTTCCGCACGCCACGTATGTCCAGCCCATTGAATTCTTATACTTTTAACGTATTGTACAATATTTTCTCTTTTGTATAGGTTCTCGAGTTGTGCATTCGATCTTAATTCCCATTGTTGGGTTTCGGTATTAAATACTGGACCATGTATTCTTCTTAAGATTTTCCTTTCAAATCTACTTAGTTTTTCTTCATCACTTTTAGTTGTGGCCCATGTGGCACATGCATACGTCAATATCGGTCTTATGTAACTTATATAAAGTTTTTCTTTGACATTTTTTGATATCAATTTTGATTTAAATATCGTCTCCATTGCAAAATAACATCGATTTGCTGCATTCAGCCTCACATTAATTTCTTCGTGCATAATATTTTTGTTGTTTAGAGTTACACCAAGGTACATAAATTCTTTAACTTGTTCGAATTCCTTATTTTCTACTTTAAGGTTGGAGCTATCCTCTGATCTTCTTGTTATTGCCATGTACTTTGTCTTCTCTTCATTTACTAAAAGACCCATATTTTTACTTGCCTTCATTAATTTCTTCAGATTCATTTGGACTTCTGTTCTAGTATTTCCAGTGATTATTATGTAATATTGACTTAAATTACTAGGTTATTTAAATAAAATATATATAAAAAGGATGTTTAAAACAGCAATAAATTTATCAACTAATAATATACTCGTATAAATATGCATTACCAATTATAACCATAGATGGGTGTTAAAAAAGAACTACACAAAAGTCCATTCTAAGTGGATCCGGCATTAGATTTAAAAAAAAAAATAATAAAAACCACAAATATTAAGGATTCACCTGATTTAAATATTACAAAAAATTTTACTTGTACATTTTGAGCCTAAATTAAAGAAAAAATTTGAGTTCCCCCCCTAGAAGTAAGTCTAAATATGACCCTGGGGGGAGGTTGGTATATAAGTTGTCCCCAGTGCTTGATTTGGCAAAATTAAAAAAGGGGGACTCTGCTTGCTTGAAAAAAAATTGCGTCCCCAAAACTTGTTAAGCGTTATAATTATAACGTATTAGTTGTGGGGGGGCGCTAAAATTTCTACAAATTAAAAGGGGTACTCCGTCTCCCTGCGTCCCCCCTCAAGTCGAGCACTGGTTGCCCCATTAAAAAATACTACCAAAGCCGCTACTGTAATTTTAATAATACAATTATTTTATTGAATTATGATGAAAACGATAAATTTGTATAAACAAATTATGTAATACCTATGTATTATTCTTATTGGCAAACATATTAAAAACAATATTTGTCCTAGAATATAATGAATATAATGAATACCAATTGTAAATTGTGAATATTTCAATGTTAAATGCAATTGTATACATATCATGCATATGTGTTCACTGCACAATGATCATCTAATATAGTTAAATGCAATTCTTCTTTTAATATTATTCAGCATAAATAGATTATGACATTTATACCGTACTATTTCATTTACATTATAAATTGTAATACAAATTAGAATAGCAATTATGTCAATAGTAGTTACTTACTCTTCTTGCCCAGTTTGATAATATATTAGCTTGTTGTATACTAATTTTAAAATACATAGAATGTGTTCTAGAATCTTTGAAGTGTGATTGTATGCAATCAATAAAGTTTTAAATTTGAAATAAGAATTTAAAATAATTTGAAACCTTGTAAATTTTTGTTAGGTTAGTGTAGTATATCCTTATATAATTAATATACCTAATTAAATATTAAATTAATAGATATTTATATAGTATACCTATTTATAACTTGTTAATAAGAACAATATTATAACGATTGTACATATTCAAACATCTAGAATTATTTAATAATATTAATAATATTTACATACTCAATTATTTATTTACGGTGATGTGGAAGGACAATGTATATCTTGACTTTTTTTGAATTTGTAGTTTCTGTCCTATTTATCACACAATTTAAATTATAATAAATTATAATGTAATTAATTATAACATAATTTAATTGGAAAATAATTTATACTACTCGGATACAAGTTTATTTAGTAACTGTATATTAATAATATCAGTTAAATGTTTGTTTATAAAGATAAAAAAATGTTACTATGAAATTTTAGTCAAATATATAATTGCCTTAAATTATGTGAGAATTAATTTAATTTGTAATACTTTCGACCAAGGTTTTAGAAAAATCTTAAATACGTTATTGTATATAATATATAAATATATATATATATTCCCAACCTATGGGTCGCGACCCTACATTGGGTCTCAATATTTTTTAACGGGCCGCTGTTCGTAAACTTATGACAAGAAAAATATCTTAGTTATCAAAATATAATTATTTATATCAGAATTCAGTTTTGCAGTATTGCGTTAAAATATTTGATAAAATTCCTTATAATATAAAATAATAAGTAATTTTATTACATTACAGCATTCTAGGTTTTTTTTTTAAGGGTCGTCTACTCAACGCAAAGGACATTTATGGGCCGCCTTAGTACAAAGGTTGGGAAACACTGATATATATGACAATTAGCATTTCAATGTCTTTGATAAACAGTTAAGATAGACTAGGTGAGATTTAGATTTGTAATTTAAAGTCTATTCCTTAACTGTTATAATGTTTAAATAACTATAACTAAGTAAATTAAAATCCAACCCCAAGCATTATTGATTTTATCAATATATAAATATTATTTTTACACGAGAAAATTCATGAAACGGGAATAGTATAATCTAAATGTAAGGATTATTAAATATTAATTTTATATTTTTTGCTAAAAAAGTATAAAATACCATTAATTACAAATAATACTATTTAATACTGAATAGGTACCATAAAATACATGTACTATATTTCGTTTCATTTCTTGAAAGTACGATTTGAATATTTTACACAAGGGTAAGTCACAAAATTAAAGGTAATAACTGCCAATTGTTGAATCAATAGTTCTATTATAGGCACAACACAAAAAAATAAAAATAAATAAAAATATTTCATTTAAAAATACCTTATAAATTTAATAAACAGTATATAGCTTGTAGTTGACCCGTTTGTCTTTAGTTCTAAGCAGGAGCATACCCAGAAATTTTTTATGGGGGGGAGGTCCAATATTTTTTATTTTATCTCATAATGGGAAATTAAAATACACTATATACTATTATTATACTATTTACTATTAAATCGTTGAGTATGTTGACATTTCAATGGGGGGGGGGTCCCATTCTTCTTGTAGAGAAATAAAACCATGGCTGCCCTTTGAAACTCTGGGCGTTGTATAATTGCACACTGTCACTATTCACTACTATTTCGTGTTCTAATAATATGTTCATATAATATAATATTGGATGTTCATTTCAGCTCGCGTTATTCTAAGCTACGTATAGATAGCGTGTTGACTCATTATAATGTACGTATCATTTTTTTTTATCTATAGTAGGTAGGCGCGAAATGCTTACGCTGATAACGTTTATTATTACAAAATATATTAGAAGCAATTGTTTTTCCAGGTATCAGCGAAATAAGGTAAACCAGCTTAAGTTTTTACAGTTATTACTAATTTATGAATTTTAAATTTCCATATCATCGTTGATGTCGTCTTTTGTCATCGTTGATGATTTATAGTCTACGGTTGTTGGTCGTGGTTGTCCTAAGAAGATTTTGTTGTTTTTTTTTTAATTTTTCTTAACATCAACATCAGTGTTGAGAAGCGTTTCTAGTTTATATAATTTGTAATCGTTTGTTTGTATTCGCGTTATCGTTATGCGTGCACTGACTGTTTTTAGTTTATTATGTATGTATCCTTCTTAATCTTTTTTCTTAAATCTTGAAAAATTAAAAAAAAACTATCAATAACTAACAATAGTTCATTTAAAATGATATGTATATAATTTCAAATAGTAGTTACTTACTATTTTAAATAGTTGTTATTTTCAACTGTAAGTAATGCCCAATGAAATTGTTTATTTAAGCTATAATTTAGTTTTTTCTATTCTGTTTGTGCTGTAATATTTATATATCTAACATGTATATTGTGAGTGAAAAAGTAATATACCGATGTTAATCTGTATTAAATTGTTTTTAATTATTTCTAGATATAACATATGGCTTATTTTAAATTTACACTTTTGAAAAAATGAAAAGAGTGGAAAATCAGTATGCACCATTGTTTCGATGTGAATTAATTTGCTATATTGCTATTTGGGCTTCAGGCATAATTTATGTTACCTATAATATATTAGATATTAGTTCCAGTAAGCTTGACTCATTTGATGTCTCATTTTGAAAACAATTTTTTCCTTACTTAATTTTTTTTAATCAGATATAAAGAATTCAGAAATACCTGATTTGATACCTGGATGGTCATGGCTTGGACGAAATAAAGATACTTGTCCAGAGTGGAGAATATGGACTGCATTTATAATATATTCATTAGGTCCATGGATTATTTTACATTCATCAGTATTATTATTAATTCAAAACTATTTTATAAAGGTCTTTTTTTCAATTTCTTAATTTAAATTTTTATTTGACAAAGCATAATTATTAAAATTGTATTCCTTTTGTGTTGCATAGGTAACAACATTGCGTGATGTATGGCTTATTACTGTCACAAGTTTATGTATAGCTTATAATTTTAGTTCATTATCAGTTTTATTATTTATTGGTTTAACTGTTATTTATTATTATATATTATTATTTGGTAATCAATTATTTATTTGGATTACAAGTATATTACTATTAGGATTTTGGTCATACAATGACTCTTTATTTGTGAGTATGGAATTAAATTTTTAATTTTCATCTTATTTAATATGTATTTATACTTATAGGATATTATTGACCCAAATTCTGATGGAGAAATAGCATATCTGTTATTGTTAACACTGTACTGGCATCAATTACGTTGTTTAAGTTTTTCACTTAGTTCATTGAATAAAGCTAAAAATAAAATGTTGCCAACATTTTTGCACTTTTTAGCATATTCATTTTATCTACCATGTTTTTTCTTTGGACCCATTGTTATATATACTAAATTAAAAGTAACTTGATTAGTTAACATTAGTATTTAAGTTTCTAAAACATTTAAAATTTTTTTATATTTTCACAGGATACATGTATTACTACAAACAAAACATGTTTGCGTCAACGTCTTATTACACTAATAATAAATTTGATCAGATATTTTTTTTGGATGTTTGTTGTAGAGTTCATACTGCACTATGTTTACATTAATATGTTTTTACAAAATATTAAAGTATGTTTTATTTGATCAAATAATTTATATTTCTATGAATTTAAGTTAATTTGGTTTATTTTTATTTTTAAGGTTTTTAAAAATTTAGGAATTACTGCACTTAGTGGGTTTGGCTTTGGAATGGGACAATTTTTTTTCATTAAATATACATTTATATATGGCACAGTGATTACAGTTGCTCGCTTTGATGAATATTTTGAACCTCCAAAGCCACCTAAATGCATTTCACGAATTTATTTGTATTCAGATATGTGGAGAAGTTTTGATCGAGGACTTTATAATTTTTTAAAAGAGTAAGTTAAATTATAATACTTTAGAATGATATAATTAAGGATATATTAACGTTTATAATACTTTAGAATGATATAATTAAGGTTATATTAACGTTTTTAAAAATAAATTTCTTATACATCATAGGTGTTATTTAAATTAAATTGGGTCTTACAGTAGGTAATGCTTATTTAATATTAGAACAATTTAAAGTTGACATTTATTTATATATACATATATGTATATACTGTTAATTCAAAGAGTTAATGTCCAATACATGTTGTATAACATGTGATAATAATAAGGTGAATTTAAGAAACTGCATAGTGGAATAACAGTTAGAAAATAACAGTAGGATTAAAGAATATAATAATAAATATAATTACATAATTCATGTATAATATGCATATATTATGCATATAGGGATTTTAGGGGTTCAACCCCCAATAGCAGAAAAAAAATAGCTCGATCTTCAAATGTAATATTCAAAGTTTCTTGTGAGACTTGTAAATATATAAATACATACTTATATTATATTGAGTAATGAAGCATGTTATTTATCAAAATTTTATATTTTTTAAAAACCCTGAAATTTTTCCTGCATTTATCGTTGGAGTATAATATCTTATAATAAAATTATTAATTAATTATTTAATTAAATTAAATAGATCAACTTGGGCATCATTAGCTAATCTTGTGGTTTTAATTAAAGGGGCGTTGATATTATTAGTTCTGTGTAAATGTTTGACATTGGATTAACATAAATACATAATCTATTTTGATATAGGTGGATACTAGAATTATGAAAAAATGTCAAGAATTTATTTATACAATAAGATGTAATTATTATAAAAATATTTAGTTACATTTGATAAAGAATAAAAAATGTAATTGAATAATATACATTTTATGCATTTAAAAACACTATCAATCATTGAAAAAATATACTTGTTCGTAAATAGAATTAAATTTTCCAACATATGTTGCTGGATAGTTATAAATTAATTCATTTTCAAGTAAACCACTATTTGCATATTTATGCTTATTTTTTCGACTTTCATTTACAAACCAATCATAAAAATAGCGTGCTGAATATATGGCTGACCAACTGTGAGGATCATTTTCTTTCCATTCATAGGCATTTTTTTCTGGGTGAAATTGTACTCCAACAAATGGATAATCTTTTGCTTCTATTATGGAAATAAAAGCCACATTATGTTCATCTGTATTAACCGTTATAGGATTCCAAAATTTGTTTAAATTCATTGACATAAATTTTTTTACTGTCATACATTGCCTGTAAAATATATAATGATAACAGCAATTAATTCCTAATTTTAAATCCAGTTTCAATTATGTATGATTAAATATTTCCTAGGTATATAAATAAAAAACTTAATAGTTAATTATTGTGTCTTAAAAGCAATTGGTTTAGCAATATTTTGTAATAACAATACTTAGGAAATTTCTTATATTTAAGTTACACAATAAATAATATTTTAATAAGTATAGAAAATTAAAAGTTTTAAAAAGTCATCTATTAAAATTTAATATAAAAAAATAAAATATGATTATTTCCAAAATTTCCAATAACTGTTATATTTTAGTCTCTATGTATTTATTCTGAATTATAAGACAGTAGTTAGAGGAAAACATTTTATTATTTAAATTAGACTAGTTCATCATATTATTGGATATTTTTTCATAGCAAAAATATGAATATTCTTAATAATCTATCATATTTTTGATTTATAACTTGTTTATAGAGTTCTATTGTTTAAGTGTATTTAAACTCATTACATATAATACAATATAGATTTAGTTCAATAAATATAACATATCTTCCAAGAATTAAAAATAAATGATTTATATTTATATATTTAAAAAAATATTTGTAGAAACAATTTAAAAAAATATTGAAGGGACAATTATCTGATATGTCATATTAATCTATGTTTTTCTGTAGATTGCTGGGAATATAAAATGTTATTAACTAATATATAATGTAAAATAGTGTTTTAAAAATAGATTGTATAGTAATACTTAAATAATTTAATATTATATGAAAATACTGAACTAAGAATGGAATTAAGTATAATTTATGTATTAAAGTTATGATAATATACCTTTTCAATTTATCAAAATACAAAATTGAAATACATACTGAAAAGTATCTGAACGTTACACGCATATTTTATATTCAAAAAAAAATATTTTTTAATTAAAGTATAAGTAAATACTATGTATAATTCTATTAATGATGTTCAGAATATTAATTATAAGATGTTTTTATTTTTATGATTATAATTTATTATCTAGATTAGGACAAATAAAGGTATAAAAAAATATATAGTACCATCTACATAGGTCCATGTATTCAATACATAGAAAATGTTCACTTAAAATGAATAAATGTTTATTAATTATGTAATTTTTTTACATTAAGTGATAGTTTACTTTAGGTTAGTAATCACAGTCTGACAGTTACGGTTCCTCTTATTATCTAAAATAGGTATCTAGTTCTAGATAGATATATTAAGCTTTAATAAATTTGTAATAACCATTACCTATTTATATTTTATCGTTTTATAAGTTATTTTAATTGTTGAAACTAAAGTAACCATTTAATAGTAAGCATTAACTTAAATAACTAAAATAATTTAAAATATAAAAGTAAATACATTAAAAATGTATTAAGTACTTATGGTGATTTGCTGTAACTGGCTCGGTCAATAATATTTTTTGAATATCATCAGGTATAGTTTTGAATAACATACTTTTATCATTCATTCCAGGTATGAGTTTGAGGGGTAAATTTACATCTTCAGAAATACATTTTGTCAGTGGATACTCTTTAGTACTGGTTGCTATTAAAAGTAGTTCAAATCCTTGACAAATACCAAGTATTGGGAAATAATCTTTCATATTGTTTTTCTAGGAATAAATAAAATATACATTTTTGTCATTTTTGTTTTATAATATTATTTACGTATTTAAATACAACTTTTTTCATTCATTGAATAAATTTGAAATTTTGACCAATTCCAAGTTATTAATAATTATCTTTTACATGGTTTAACATAAATAAATACGAGTATGTCTCTATAATAAAACTTATACGTTTATTTTTTGGTTAATGTTTAATGTAAGAAAAATTCAGTGAAATAATGGCCTTGAAGTATCTATTTTTTATAAAAGTTTTTATAGTGAAAATAATTAAATTTTGTAATTAGTTATGTTTAGATTTTAGAATTACAAGAATATTCTTTCTAATAATTTGAGGGTTTTCATATAGCTGTAAAATATTAAAGAGTTCCGTCTCCATAAATTTGATTTTGTAGTAATAAAAGATAAAATAATTGAATGACACTGTAGTGTTGGTTTTGGTACATTTTATGATTTAAAAATAAATTTATTGCTAATCTTGATATTTTCTTTTAATTGAAAGCTTTAATAGGACGATTTAATACATTCTGTACCTTATTAAAATTATGAAACAACATTTAGCTTTTTCTGTATCTACCTTACCTCATCACTTCATTAATGTTGTTTAAATAATCCTATGCAAAAGAATGCATAATTTATATGGTTTTCGATACATTATTTGAATTTATAATTTTCTTTAAAATAGCGAATATTTTATTTTGTTGAATTGATTTACTCAGCTTAGAAAAGTTTTATTGCATTAATTAATCAATTCATTTTTATTTAAAAAATTTTAATTAATTGATCCATCGGATACATTTTATTTACGTTTTTAGCAATACGAAATATTTCATATGCTGATTGACCAATTCCAAAACTAATATTAAATGCACTTTTTCCTCCGGGAATTAAAATGCCATTGACGTTGTTTATTACGTTCCTGTAGAACAATAAATTATTGTTAACTTTGTATTATGAAATTAATTATTTTGTTATCACATACTTATAATATTCAGTGCTCCGGTTCGTAAAAACTGGTATAACTCGTCCACCTGAAGCTTCAATTGATTTTACATAAGATGCAGCAATATAAGTATAATTTGGTGGCTTGAACCTTTCTAAATGTGACCGATAAATTTCTTGTGTTAGTATTCCAATTACTGGGTTTTGATTACAGAACGTTATTTTTGTCATTAAACTCAAAAAAAAAGTTAAATGAATTGGTAATAACATTTTTTACGTTAACTAATTTTTTTATTAAATTTAATTATATTTTAAATTAAAAATGCTACTTCTATAAGTATTTATAATATTATTTTGAGTTTATAAGGCGTATTAATTATTTTAAAGACGTCTGTTGAGTTTAATTTAATTATTTTCTATTCATTTATTATTTATCTAATTTTCTTATCTTAAATTATAGACTACTTTGTCAATAATGGTAATTACATTTATTTATTATGATTATATATTATATAATTCATGGGTTGAATTCATATGGATTTACTTAGAGCCAAGTGATAGTGAAATTATCTGTTTGGATTGTTATACTTTTCTTGTTTTTTACTTTAACATATTTCCTAATGATGTAGGTACATATATTTTTATTTATTTTAACTATGTTTAACTATCGCTGTTTCGCAAATCTCAATTATATATTTATTTACATTTTTAAATTGATATTATTATATAAAATTAGTAAAAAGAATTCAGTTTTTCAACCTATGTGGTTGGATAGCTATAAATTCATTCATTTTCAAACATACTTTTGTTTGCATATTTACGTGTATGCTCAATTTTTTATGATTTTCATTTATAAACCAATTATAAAAATAGCGTGCTGAATAAATGACTGACCAATTGGAGGATCATTTTTTTTTCATTCATAGGCAATTTTTCTGGGTGAAATTTCACTCTAACAAATGAATAATATTAAGTTTTTATTGTGGAAATAAAGGTACCTATATGTTTAACTTTACTAATCGTAATTAATCATAATTATAAAATTTGTTTAAATGAATTGACAAAGTTATTTTTTATGATACAATATTAGTGAAAATAAAACTATGAAATAAAATAATATTATTGAATTGTACATCAAATTCAGTATTTCTTTTATGTAGTTTCGGATGTAGGACATTTGATGCTCTGGCCAAATAAAAACGCGTCCTTACGTAGGTGTAAGTTCGGGATATATTCTGGAGTTTTTATTTTTTATAAACTTAAGAGTGCCTTTATACCAAAAACGCTTGAGGCAAACCACTTCCCCCCTTCTAGATCTGGCACTAATTTTATGTTAAGGTGTGGATTATTTATGAATAACAGTGTGATAATTTATTTTGAATTAAACATTTTAATTACTAGTAAAAAGTATTTGGTCAAAATTTAATACTTTTATATAGTGTATTTTTTTCTAAAAATATTTATATTTTTTTAAAATTATAAAGTTTTTACTACATTTAAAATTATTTTATTCACATAAGTTTGTACAGTTTTCTTAGAATCATAAAAGATTCACTGTTTAAGGTTTATCTTACCACCGATAAATGACTATGCATCATTTAATTGTACACAGTATATTAGTTAAGTATATTTTGGGCTGTTTATAATTCATTATTAAATCGTTTAAAGCTAATGCATACTAATGGTGATTTACTGTGACTGGCTCAATCAATATTATAGTCATAATATAGATATAGTCATTAATGTTTATTTTTCGGTTTAAATGCATTATACAACTTACACAAGTTGTATTTATTCAAAGGCGTTCATCATAAAAAATCCAGGTAAGGGGACGCGTGTGATTGGTACCTCTCTGTCTCTTGGCGATCGTTATTGATAAGTTTATAATTAATATTTATGATCCCCAAAGTTCGTTCTCCTGTGGTAAAGTTTTATTTATGAGACATAAGATTAGTTAATAAAATAAATGTTATATATTTCATATAAATTAATAATTATAATATTTTATGTATAAATTTATAATATTTACGGAAAATTCAGGGGGTAATAACTCCCTACCCATTCCCCTTGCTATCCCCAGTGGACACTATTGGCTGCATTCTCAACTATAAACATATTTAATATACTTAAATTAACTTAAAAATTGATCGCACTCATGTTTTGTAATAAAGTTAATTTTCCAATTGACTTATTCCATAACTAATATCGATTGGATTTCTTTCTCCCGGAATTTAATGCTATTGACTTTTCTCATTACTTCTTTATAAAAACTTCTAATTCAAAATATTGTCTCTATAAGGGAATTGAAAGCGGCAATTTTTTATCAGTCTTTCACTTGCACAACATAATATCTAGAGATCTTATATCTACAACTGGGTCTATTACTACCCTTCCCTTTTCTGCTGATTCACTTTTTGACCAAAACAAAAATTTATATAATAAATTTAAAATAATAAAATAATGAAATACAATGTTTGATTATGATGGAAATTACTATAATATATTATAATGATTCATGGTTTTACTCGCGTAACCAGGTTTTAGGTTCACATACAGAGCATAATCTCATTTGCAACAGTATCAAGGTTTCTACAAAAACTAGGTTAGGCTTAGACTATAATTCCCCTTGGGGCGAAGCCCCATTCCCCTGAAAAGTGCCACACAGTGGCACTCGAGTTTGTGAGTGGAGTCGGTAGGTGTAACGAGGAAAGTCCTAAAATTTTTAAAATTAAAGTTCCGATTTTTCGAAAAAAAAATGCAAACAATTTTCATTACGATAAGAGATCAAAACTAGATACAAAATATCGTTCTATTTTATATTAATATTTTAATAATTGTTGACAAAAATTGTACATCATTATTTTATTATTTTAAATTTATTATATACATTTTTGTTTTGATCGAAAAGGGAATCGGCCTATTTTAAATTTGATCGAAAAGTAAATCGGCCGAAAATAGAAGAGTAGGTTTTTGGTCAAAAACAGCCATGTCCCAACAACTAGGGTTACCAGATTTTGAAATTCCTAAACCGAGACATCAATATGAATGACTTTTGTATTTTTTTTTTTTTTAGCTAATACAAAAGTACATTATTATTGTATATAACTATGCTGATTAACCATGATATAATCATATAATATTATATCATTGTACATATTTTCAATATTATTCTATGTCTTATTATTAAATAATACAATATTGAATGTTATTTTTCCTTAGTTTGTATTAATTGGGACAAACTGAATGATTGGCTGGGACCAGTGGCGTATCCATGGGGGGGGGTTAGGGGGTTATACCCCCCGACAATTTTTAGTGTATGTATATTGTCTATTGATTATAATAAAAACACACAAAGTTCAAAAAAAATTTGAATATTACATTTTTTATAAACCCCACCCCAAAAAAAAAAAAATTCCGGATTCGCTACTGGCTGGGACACCGGGATTATCCTGGTCAAACCGGGGTGAATGGCAATCCTATTGATTTACTATTGATATACGTATCGATTGATTTACTTATGCGATAAGAATTTTGAAAACCGATTTAAAATTTTCATTAAACCTGTTAGAGTAAAATGTTTTTAGATTTTCAATTGTGTTTTTTTAAAAGCCTACTAAAAACAATTGAAATAAAACATTTTATATAAATTATGGGGGAAAAATTAAAAATTCAGTGTTAACAAAAATGTGTGCATATGATTCATAACATATACAACATTTTGTTAATAGAGACAATAAACTACTGCTTCTAATTTTATATATATATATATTGTTTTTATATATTTAACAATTAAATAACAAGACGTGGCTATATACCTAAGTATAATTTAAAGGTTTCAATGATTCTTAAATAAACGACCAATTAATTCTTCATTTTAGTATTACAATCATTATTATATGATTACTAGCTGTTATTTTGATAGCAAATGTCAAAATAAAAATGTGATATTAAAACTGTTAGCCAATTGAATATTTTAAGTATTTATTTCATGAAAATTAAATGTGTTGTAAAAAATCTAAAATATGAAAAGGACTATTCTAACTTGTATTACTATTTTGTTATTATTATTTGACTACTATTCTTCTCTGTTCTTTTGCTACACAAAATATTTGCAAATTGATTTTGTAAATAATTATTTTTTTCATCATGTATTTATTATATACTTAATTTTTGTTGTTTATATAACAAGTTATTATTAATAACTCACTGTTTATTTTTAATTATTATGCGTAAATTATAAATAGTTAAAATATAAAATAATTGTTTGAAAACAGTCCATTTTTAAGAATAATAACAGTGATAAACTCTAAATTTTCACTTTAAGAGATAATAGTACTTATATAATATTTATAATGATAGACTAAGATATTAATATGCTGTATTAATTATATAGCACATCAATAAATAAACGAGTATCAATACATTTATTTTAACGCTTCTAATTTGAACTCGATTTAAAAAGTATATTTATGATATCGTGTGTATGTATTATTATATTTGTATATTTGAAAATATACTCGTATGTTCTACTTCAATTAAAATAATTTCTAATGATTTTAAGTATGGAAGTATTAAATAAAATGTTGAACTTATTTCATATGCGTATCCAGATTCTCTGGGTTGTAAAACATTTAATAAGATAGGATCAAGAGGACTAATCCCATGACCTTTTGCTCATAATTACTTACATTTTTAATGTACCTAAACACAACTTATCTTTATGCTAAATTAATTAAGATCAAATTGACGAAAATCATAGTTCATATCAAAATACCATCCCCAGCACTAAGATGAAATAATTTGATCTTCACTAGGAGGGGACATATTTATTAACAATTATTAATAAATAAATAGCTAAAAAAAAATCAAATAATTCGAAAAAAATATTGTGAAATAGACACAGAAAAAGGCGAAAACTAAGAAGGTTAATAATAATTAAAATGAAATAGAAAATAATTATAATTATCAAGTGTACATAATGAATTATAATTTTAGTATGCATAAAATACATGAACGTAGAATATAAGTATACATATACGTTATATATGTATGTATATTATTTTCTTAAACGTGATAATACTACTACTGGTTATTAATAATAATGAAACTTAATTTCAATGAGATCATAGTACTAAGAAAAAAAAATACTACTAGATAATAGTATTTAATGTAATTAATTGTTATTTTCTATTATCTTTATTTTTGCAGATATATATACAGACCATCTGGTTGTCATTCAGAAAATGCGAGTCTTCGAACTAAATTAGTGAGGTCATTTATGTGCTTTGCATTTATATTTATTTGGCATGGGTTATCATGGGAAGTTTTCCTGTGGACTCTTTTCAACTATGTTGGTATTACACTGGAAACTTTAGCAAGAGTTTTTGGAAAATCGTCTTATTATTTACGTTATATTAAAGTAATTAAAATAATTATTCATAATATTTAGTTTAATCGATTTAATAATAATAATAATAAGAAGAAGACTTAACAATGCATGTGAATTTAACGTTTTGAAAAAGTATAAGACTGTAGATCAGCATTTATCACTTTTAGCCATTAGAATCAAACATCGCGTCACCCTAACATCAAAAAAATAAACTATCTTAACGGTATATTTAAAAATTGTTCTTATTAAAAAAAAAATAAATAAATAAATATTATGCTTAAAATAATAAGCTTACACTTTATTTAATTTACATGGTTCAATAAACTTTAACACTTAAAAGTTTAAATTGGCAAATTGAAAAAAAAGCAAAAATAATAATCATTTTATAAAAAAATAATTAGGAATTTGACACTGTTGATTTTTACAAAATTTGGGAATTCGAGGGTTGATATTGAAAAAAATGTGTCTCATAAAGTCTTCTAGAGTTGAAGAGCTATAATACTACTTAACGACTGTAGAATAACTGACTAATGACTAGAGATTCGCAAATAATATCTATGTTACCAATAAGTCGATATTGTGGTAAAAATATCTGTATTTCTATGGCGAAATTTGAAAAATATCGAAATATGAAAATAAATATATCGATATTTTGTAGCATAAATATCGTTTATTATATTTATATAGGGCTGTATTGTTAAACATATATATGAAAATGTAACAAGGGGACTTCACAAACTGGGCACGGCCGACTGGGCCTGGGGGCAAATGGGCGCGAGCCGAGTGGACTCTAGACAAATGGGCTCGAAAATTGTGTTATACAATCAATAATGCTTTTTTAATAAAAACAAAATATTTATTAAGTTATTATACAATTATTATTAAATGTTGAAGTACATTTTAGACAAAAAATATTTTGCCTTTTACACAAATAATTATATTATTATAAAATCTGTGCATTTTTATAGTAAAAATTAGAATAAGAAATGCACCGCGCAATCGTGTTGGGGGTACTTATAACAGTTTTTGTCTTTATAGTCTCTATAGTATATTAATTGCGGTCGAAAATTTTCCTTGCTTGATTTTTAGATTTTTAGATTAAAAATTATGTTGCTTTAATTAATATAATGAGTTGTAATTCAATATTTAAAATTGCCAGTGCATTTAGATTTTGTGTCATCCCACGTTGAGTCCAAGTCACCTTTGGGTGACGTGTTACCCTGGTCTAGAATCATTGCTATAGATTCTCGTTTTCCATAATTTGTTGTCAAATATTAATATTATTATTTTTACATTAGTATATTATTTTGTGTTTAAAAATAAAAGTATTGCATATGTATATCATGTACTAGAAAATTAAATAATATAAATACTAAAAAGAAAAGTATTTCAAATTCGGAATTAAATTGACGATTCAGTTGTTAATAATGTTTTTGATTATAGTTCTATCTCAGTGGTTCTAATGAGAGACGATTTTTAGCACTTATAACCAGTCCCCTAACAATGTTATCAGCTATTTCAAATTTCTTCTTTTTTGGCGGTATTGATGCTGGAATTAGTTTTTTTGAAGCAATATTTCTATTAAGTAAGTAATATTTTAAGAATATTATTTTTCACTAAAGTTTAATTATGTTACTAATGTATGTACGCATTAAAATTTTTTTAGATACGTGGATTGAAAACACTATTATTATTATAATATTTTATTCAATGTGTCAAATATCAATGGAGTTTAATCATTATAAAAAAACAAAACAACAATAAATTAATGAAGTAATATTTCTCATTATGGTACATACTTTTATATTATTCACATAAACAGTATAATTTTATGTACATAATAACCAGGAGAATTCATGTAATAAATGTTATATAGTTCCTATATTGTATAATGTAATGATTTAATTAGGCTATTTGTATATTATAATTATGAACAAGTTAATTATAAACTAAATATTAAAAGTATTAATCTAATTGCATAAGTATTACAGTCAGAGTTTAATATAATATTGATATATACTCATTTGTCTCAGTAGTATTAATTCTAGTATTTGTAACAATTTCGTATTTTAATATAATTACTATTTTTTATATTAAACTATTCTAACAATTTTTATATTTTTTACTGTTATACTATTAATATTTTTATACATTTTTTATAATATTTTTTTTTGTTATCACAGCTACTAGCTAGAGCTAGAGCGTTTTTCTTGTAATTAAATAGAAAAATGGATCTAATAATTGTCACACCATTTGTCTGGTTTCAAAACAAATTATTGTATTATTTGTTTTGAAACTCATTAATTATTGATTTCAAAAACGATTTTAAATTTATCATTGTTTATTTTAAATCAGTCAAATTTTTGTTTAAACCAATTAGATATTTTTCCCAGTAATTTTATATTGTGTGAATTCATACACTACAGACATTTGATTAATACCTTTTATGGTATTATCTGCATTTTATTTTCAAATTATAAAGAAACATTATAAGTTTTTTATTGCTCAAAAAGTGTTTTTAAAATAAAACATTATTGTAAAACCAATGTAATTTATATTATGTATCTATTATTTGTTTCACTCAGAATTCAAAAAAAAATAGTGTATATTATAATTTAATTGTAAGTATTATATTATGTAAATGTTGGCTAATTTTGCACTATTAATTTTTTCCTAATTTATTTGATCCTTTTTTTAATGGTTAGTTAAGTATGTTTTAATTTATTTGTCAGTATGACATATATAATATTAATATAATATTACTTTTAAGAAAATAATCAGTTATGTCCTGAAGTGAAAGTCAATAGAAAATAATAGTTTGAGATATTAGTTTTACATGCATTTGTAATATGACTACAGTTATTATTATTTTTTTAATTATTTTACAAAAATTGCATCATTTGTAAGCGAGTTCTGAACAGTATATTAGTATCTGAATTTGTGACTTATAAATATAAATTTATTTAAGCAAAGTAAACATATTATGTATTTTATTGATCTTACTAAATATAATAAAAAAAAATCTAATTCATAAGCACCCATATTAAATGAGATTATAAAAATATAATTTTGGAATTATAAATAAAACATACAATCAGAAGTAATTGAATATTCATTTTGTTTTTGGTACTTATCATAGTTGCATTGAGTCAGAGAAGAAAAAGCATTTGTAAGCATGTTGATCATTGATGTTGATCATCAGTGCATGTGCTTGTGACGGCTTTCAAACTTTTTTAAAATATTACGTTTTACTATAATAGGTAGAATAACAATACTTAGTAGTAATTTAAATTTATCTTCCATGATTCCATTATATTTTCGAAGTATTAATTAAAATAGGTATTATAGATTTTATAACTGAAACTGAAAGGGTAAAATTTAATTTTCCTATTTTTAATAATATTGTAACAAATAATTGGAATTAATAATTTAATATTTATATGATCCATCTTTAATATAAATTTGCAAGTTATTTTTATTAGTATGAAGTGTTGAAGAATTATTATCGTTGTTAAAAGTATATAAAATAAATTACATTCCATTACATTTTTTTTTTATGATAAAATCAATTTAAAATTGTTCTAAATTATTCAAAATTTAAATTACTTGAAATGTTTCTCAGTTATTTATTTTATTTTTATTGAAATATAGCAATAAAAATCATATTTTGCGTTTTTATTAATGAAAATCGAACCACCTTTTATTTTAGGAAACATAGGAATATTTTTTATTAGTCAGGTAGGTACATGGATAATAGTTCAACTGATGGGATTTAAAGATTTGACATTAAATATTTGTCATTCAATATTTTTTTAGATCGAATAATTTCTTGATCTATCAAAAACGGAAACAATGTCTATGTAAATAAGTCATACATTTTTTGTTGGAAAACTCTATGAGAACTAGTTATATCTATTATTCTCCAAAATAATAATGTAATTTAAAATCAATAACTTATTTTTAAGTGTAATATTGAATTTGTTTTTTTTATTAAATTTTCATTAGGAAGTTATTACAAAAAAGTTATGTTAACAAATAGAACTAATTAGTAGTAAAATATGTTATAGTATTATAATTATAACATTTATCATGTAGAAAATAAGAAAAATAAATGTTCTTGCTGACAGTGAAAACGAGTGTCAAATGGAGAGGAAAAATATGAGGTTATGAAAAATGTAATTAATGTGCTTACAGTCTAACAATAAAGAGGTCAGTATTACATAGTATAGACGTTAATATTTAATCTCCGAGATGTCTTAGAAAATAATGTTTCCATTAACTTGTTTTGTAAATGTTTCAGTTTTAAAATAATTTTCCTGTTTTTTTTATTGTTGTGATGTTTAGTCATGTATTGTTAACATATTTTTTGGTACGTTATAGCACAAGAAAAACAAAGATGATAATATAATTTACAAACTTAAATGTGGTGTCCTCTTAATCATGGAACAAATTGTAATTACTTAAGTAAACAATGTAGATATTGTGTTTATTTCGCTTAAATTTGATTATAATCAATGGTTATATTAATTATTAATTTTTATTTAATTGTATTGTTAATTTCACCAAATACTAAATATTGCCTTAAAATTTTGTTGTAAATATTAATAAGCAAATGAGTTATTTTTATGTGAAACATTTATTATTTCATAATATGTGTTCAATTTAAATATATCTTTTAGTTTTTATGTAAGTCTATTGTTTATTTTGTATATTCTCAACTTCAAAATTTTTTTATATTTTGATGTACAAAATATAAATGTATGATACCGATAAAATAATTCACGAGCTAAAATAATGTTGGGTCAAAATGAAAGAGTGTATGGATAAAAATTCGTGTTGCATTAGTGACTATCGCTTCATTCACTTTATCTTATATTAACATATCGTTTTTGCTTCAAAATGATTTGCTTTGTATTGGATAGTTGCGCACAAAATGTTTAGAAATAAACTTACCTTATTAAGGAGACCGAGAATTTATATTGTTTTATAATATAACCCGACGGTACACATTTTTGAGTTTTAATAAAGAAAAAACTATAATTATTTTGAAGGTTACTCAAAGAAATGGTAAAACATTAACTATGTAATTTTAAACAATAAATGTTTCTTTCAAATAAAACGACATCGTTTTATGATTACATGAATTTAAATTATCTGAATGGGTCAACTAATTGATTTTATTGCTATTATTTTAATATATTCGTAGTCCTAATTTTTAAAAATTGAATTTATTTGAATTAGTTTCGTTTGTATAAAAATACATAGATTTCACGTTATTCAATATATGTATATCTATATTAATTGGATAATTTGAAGTTTGTTTCAAACATTAGTGATGTCAAAGTCACCCTGTTAAACGATTAATATTGTATAAATATTTTATATTTTCTATAACCATTCTTTAATCGTTTTAACTAGAACTATGATTCTATATACATCGATCTTATGTACAGTTATTTGATTCATCAGTATAAGCAGAACTGTGATTTGTTTTCAATATCAGTATCTTCTCGAGTGACAGTGTTGTATTTCTCCCCTATTATAAGGTGGTGGTGGCGGTGGCGTCGGAGGAAATCCTCCTCTGTCTTGAGATCCTAATGATTGGCTGTCTACCTCAATTATATCCTCGCTGTCTTTTTGAAGTGCTGCGAAACACATGTCTCTGTTAGCGCAGCAGCCTTCTTGGTGTCCTACATTACAAGATGGAGATATCACACTTGAACTATATTTTTTACGACGAAAAATCTGGAAAAAAAATTAAAAAGATTAACAAATCAATAATAATCATGAAAACAGGATTGTAAAAAAATACTTTAGTTTTGATTATATTACGGCTGATGCGCCTGAACTTTCGGTTCAAAGCCCAGTATATGAATGGATTCCAAAAACTATTGCTAAGTGCAATCCATGTGATTATGAAATCAACAGCGGGCGGCATCTACGTAGGTATTAATGTCCAACCTTAATTACAGTCCATAACTTTATTTATATTTTAAAATACATACTTTTGAGCCAGTGCATGCCGTTACGACTTCTTGAATTGTCCAAGGAGTTACGACTACTATGAAACCCAACGCTACTGCCCCCATCGCTCTTGTTGTACGTATGCTTTGTCTTAATTCTTTTGATGCCAACTGATCGGATGCTTCATCAAGTGCATTCTAGATTAAATAAATTTACTTGGGTTCATTTATAGCAAAAGTTGGATGTAAATACGTATGGTCATGGATAAAACAATACTGGTACGTGCGTTCCATTATGTCTTATACCGGATAATTATAACTTGATAAGGTACCTATTTATTCATTATTATCGGAACGTTTGTTTTTGTCCTTTCTTGCTTAGATTTCAATATTTTACGTATATTAATACGTAGTAGTATTAGTATGTATTAATACGTACCTATATTAAATACGTCTATTTATATGTTTTTAAAGCATCTACGTTTATAATATGTTTATTTTAGCGATTTGTTGTGATGTGAAACTGAATACTTTTTTAGTACAAAATATTTTTTTGGAATTATTTAATCATTAACATTTAAATTCGGAGAAATAGTAATAATAAATAGTAAATACAGAGAATAAAGAGCTGTAATAGTAGTTATTGTTGTTCAGTAAGAAAGGTATGAAAAATAATACGCGATCACCAGGTTGTTAGTTAAATTGTTGAATTTCTATACTTTATTGATAAGATATTTTAAGTGATTGTCAATATACTTATGTTTATATACTTTATGTACTTAAATTGTTTCAAAATCGATCAATGTAAAAAATACTCAACATTTTATTACGATATATGGGTATAGTAGATTTACAACAGTAAATGTGTTGGCGTACAGTTTTAATATAATATTATTGTTGTACCTTGGTTGTGTTGTTAGGTAACATGGGTTGCACTAGAACGGCACAGATGTTTATTTGTTGTCTATGCCTGAGCCTGTCCACGTGCAATGCTGATCCGTAGAAATACATGAGTGCCATTGTTGTGGGAAAGTAAAACAAGCATGCAGCCAATATTCGCAAACTTGGTCTTTGATAAAATGGTTCGCATGCCATTAGTCCATTGCCGTTGTAGAAATATCCACCTCGACGGATTACTGCCGCACCGAAAGCGGTTAATGAACCCACTAAAGTCAAACTTAACACTAACATACAGCCCTGTAAGTATAAAATGTCAAAATTTAGTAAATGATCATATTTAAACATGAAATAAGATTGAACATTTTTGAGAACGCTATTTTAAACCAATCTATATCGTTACAATATGGTCTACGAGCTTCAAGGAACCATTTTCTGTGAACATTTATTTAAAATGCTCTTGTTTTTTTTTTTTTTTTTATTAGGGTTGTATTAAATCCTTTCTCTGAGTTATTTTATTTTTATTAACTAGTTGTATAGGAAAAGGAGAGAGAGGTTGTTATATGTAATAGTTTCTTTTTTTGTTGTAGAAAATAAAATTAATCACCTATTACATTTTGATTTTTACAATCGTTTTTTCAGCTTAAATCGTAGAATGTTAGAGTATACATTAAGAAAATTACCAATTATAATATACGAGTATAACTGAGTGAGACGTGCATAGGTAATTTGGTTGAAACAGAAAATGATAAAAATACTTAATTTATGTTTATTTTATCTTTGAATACAAATATAAATCTTTGACTCTGGCGAATTCGGGTAATTCAGTTGTATTATACAAGTAAAATATTTAGTAGTTATATCTATATTAATATGTCTCATAATTAGAGGTCGAATTTTTCAGTCATTAAAAGATAAAATAATGAAATTAATCTCTTTCGAATAGTCTAAACACATTCGATAAGCTCTTTTGTGTTTCACACGATGTATAATAATGCAAAATTAGGGAGCGTATATAGTCCAGCGAAATAAGGCGGCTGTGTCTATACGGTCTTAGGTTCGAGTCCAGTCACTGGCGCGCACAGTGGTCCACAAATTAAAATTAGGCGGTCTTTATTGCTCGATTTCAAAATGAGAAAAATTTAATTTTTTTTTTAAATATTATGTCTACATCCTGTTGAGTTCAGATATGTTACTGGAAATTTATAAATATTTTTATAACTCAAGTTATAGCTATTTCAATGAGACATTTTTCAATGTATCTGATATTTTAATTTAATTTAGGGCATAAATTGTTTATTTTTTTTACCACATAAAAACTAAAAAATAAAATAAAATTTATTTTTCAAATAGTTCTATCCGTGTTATATAAATAGAAATAATAGTACGAAATATTTTTATTTTTTTTAATACATTCATAATGAAATTGATTTGGAATTACGTTTTTTTTTTTTTTCCCAAAGACTGTGGATAAAATTTACTCAATTTTACATAATATTTATTACATCCATATTAAAGAGAAACTTCTTGCCTATTAAATGATGTACATTTTGTTTGCGACTGTTTGCATATATATAATAGATAAATATAATATATGTGTAAATTACTAAACGGTAAACAATCAATGGGTGTTAATATTATCTAAATATTTTAGTATTTTTATCATCATCATCTTTTCTATCATCTTCATTTTCATGGTCATCATCTACGAGCTTGTTATTTTTTAAAAAGTAGTTTGTACGCTAAATGAAGAGATCACTTATAAAAGCGAATCCATTTATGCAAGATTGAATTACCAAATTCTAAATTTTCCATTTTATTTGGTTTTCTATGCATTGCGTGCATACAGTTATAATCTTAACAAGTAGCATTACAAATTTATAATTTTTAAGTAGAAGTAGAGCTTGGAACTCTATTGCAGACTTAGCTGTATGTTATTAAAAAATATAAGTTTATGATTGACATTGATAATATATTCATCTAGGATTTTTTCTAAATTTAATATTTGCTCGTCTATCCTTTTTTTCTTCTAAGGAAACTGGTATTTTCCTTAGTAAATGCTATTTTTAAAGGTTTACAACATCTGGTTGAACTGGGCCTAGAATTTTTCAAACCCACTTATAATTTTGAGAAAAGGATTATACAAAATTTAAATAACAATAGATTTAAGAACATTTTTCATAAAAATTAGGTAGTGTTTTGATCCTTATTCCCATGACTCATATGCACTTCGCATTAGCCAGTCGCTGTACAATGATTATAGTTGACGAATGGACTATTATTAGATATTAACATTTAGAGTTATTTAAAATGTCTTAGTTCTGCGAGTAAATTATAGAAGAGCTGAAAATAATCACTCTTATATCATACAAATTTTTCAAGTTTTCGTTGAACCTTGGGCTTTAAACACAATTTAAATAATTTAGAGGGAATTTAATTTAAAAAATATTTGGGGGGGTTTAGGTTGTATATTTTCATATTTAAATAATATATATACTACTTTTATTCTATAAAACATATATAATAATTTTCCTGAATTTTCGGGGGGGGGGGGGGAGGTGTGAACCTCTCTCCTTATGTACGCGCATGAGTACTAAGTGCATTATAGCTACCGGCGACCGGAGATTTATGCTACAACGGAGCACGAACAGTGTGACTTGGTCTTCCCTCCTATATATATCCGATCATGGTTGTTATGACTCTATGACCGACATTTTTCAACCACAATTTTTACAATCATAAGAGTGCTGTTTTTCTTGTCAAATTTATATTTTTTTCTAAGTGGAAAACACAATACAACTTGATAAATTATGACGGAGGTTTTTATTTTATATACCGTGTCAACTATTACAGTCTACAGTAATATGTTAAGTTATCGTATAAAATTCTCGATTTTCATATTTTAAGACGACAAAAACAATTTTGACTGTAATATGTAATAATTTTTACAATTTAAATTACTTTAAGTAATTTATTATTCACTCCAAAATCAACGTGAGTTGGCCTGATTTGCTGTGTATTTTGTGGATGCATAGTAGATACCATGTTAAAATATATTGATATAACTATCCTTAGTTTTAAAACACTACAATATAGTATTTCCATATTTTATTTTTGTAATATACAATTTTAATTTATAAAATATATGCTTTATTTTGTGTTATATTATTTGTCGCGAAAAAAAACCAAATTGAAAAAATTTATTTTCTCCTTCGCATTTTATTTCCGGAATTTATTATGGAGTTGGGTCTGAATTTACGTTATGCTTATGTTTGAATCGATCAAGTAATTACTTTACACTTTAATTTCTGTAATTCCGGAGACATCTAGTAAATTAATATATATATATATATATATATATATATATTTGTAAAATAATCTGAAATGATGATGAATGTGATAATTTTGTTTTGTAACGAAACATTATATATTAGATAAGAAATATTTATGGAGATATCATTATATATATTTTTATTTTCAACTAATTCATAAAACTATAAATTGCAATATTATATTACATTAAAGTAGGTTAGTATATTCAAGTGATTATACTTTCACGTATTTTTTCATACATAACATGATTCATTAATTATGAATATTAAGATAATAATTAGTAGATTTAAAATATGGAAACCATTTAATTCTGTTTTGAGTTTAAATATTGGTAAATAATTTAAATTATATAGGTATCTAGTTTTAGTTATTTTTAACACTATACATGATGTAGAGTTGATGTTACAGATATTGGTGGGTCGAGATGGGTGTTTGTCTGGCTTTGATTACCCTAATGCTAGAATTAAAGAAGCTTATACTACTATATATATATTATTATTGCTAAATTTGAAAATAACGATAAATCATGGTATTGAAAATGATTTTAAGAGTAGATTTTGATCCACTAGGTACAATATTAAAAAATATTTTTCAAGTATTAAATAAAAAAAATCTAATATAGGTCAGGAATAACCCTTAATCAGAATTTAAAATTAGCTTATAATATATTTAATAACTAGCAAATTGTGGAGGACCTATAGGAATAAAATATGCCACTTAAAAGCGTAATTGATTTTTAACTCATTGTATCTCTCACTGATTGTTATAAACATTGATGTATTTTTTATAAGTAATATTTTATTTGTACGTTAAGAGTATATAATGGGTGATAGAATTAATTATATTACTATTAAAAGTTATAAAAAAAAATATTATTATAATGCAAGTATAAAGGATTATACGTATCTAAATATCAAGTTTAAAGGTTAATATTTTTATTAATATTTGTATTATTGATCTCAATAAAAATATATGTGCTTAAATTAAATGTTATATATGACTGTGGATGAAAGTAGATATTTTAATTTTCTTTGGAATTTTTTGAAAACGTTTTGGACCTATTGTCCACAGTAATATTATGCATCACTACATGGTTAAAATGTACAGGAAACAGCAAACACGTTTAATGGAGGTTATTATGATTTAGGCTTGAGCTTTCAATTTAGTTTCATGTTAGGACGATACCTTTCTCATATATTATTATTACTGGTATAGGTTAAAGAGAAATTTCAATCGAAACTTTATAAATGTTAATTTCCTATGTTTAAATTGTAAACATAGTGGTTCAAGAGTCTCTGCCACTAACCACTATACTATTTCTTAGAACGGAATGAGAAATTTATTAGTTTCTATCATAGCCATTTTAATATTTCAACGGGACATTTTCAGAAAAAACTTGCAATATACGTAGGATATTAATAGGAAATAGAAATTCAAATTATACCAGAACTCAAAGGAAATTACATTTTACTAACAGTAATAAAAAAAGCTCTAGCTACTAGCTATATGTATTGTATATGCATGAAATTTTTATTTCTTTGGTTGCAGAATAATTTTTAAAAACCACGGTCAATTGAGTAAATGTAATATAATTAGTGCTCGGAATAAACGTGCATTCCTTTCCTAAGAAATGCATTATTTTTACTTTTAGTAAATAATTAATGTAAATGTATTTGATTTTACTTTTAAATTAAATATAAACACAAGATTATACAAGGGATGAGATCCAAAGAAATATTTTAATGTATATACTGTCATAAACTAATTAATCGTGATTGAACATGACAGAGTTCAAGCTCATACGATATATTGAACTATTATGGTTTAAAAGTTAAATTTACTTCTTATAAGACTCACATTATTTTTGAAAATACTTAATTTGGATGGGATGGCATATTATTTTCGAAAATAAATGTTGCAAATAATGATCATAATAATTGTTTTAGTTAATTTAATACTAATTTCTATTGCATATATTATCCATGAATGTGAACAGTTCCGTCAAATTTAATATTTACGTTCATGAAAAAAAAAGGAATTGCTATCAACCTGACGATTGAGTAGAACCTTATAAAATATATATATATATACAAATTAGTCATGAGATACAGCGTAAAAGACATCAACATTAATAATAATATATGAGTATTCAAATATATTATTTTGATTGCACGAGTGCCAAAAGGAAATTACATTCTAGTGTAAATAAAAATAAATGTTGACGAATATTTTGCTTTAAAGTTAGTTTTGACGTGAAAGATAAATACTTTGTATTTTTATTCTATACTTATTGTTTCCGTCCGCATAAATACACATTAGATTTTAGTACATAGATGTTTTGAATAGATTTTTTGTTGGAATTTTATTGTTATTCATCTGAATATTTGTATTTATATTATGAGTATGGAATTATGATTGTATGTGTATGCAGAGTCTTACTCGCGACAACTTGAGTTTAAGTGGGTAAAAATAAGTTCAAGTTTTTAACATAAATATTAATATTGAACACACATTTAAAGGAATTTTTAAAGGAAGTATTTGAGTTACTAAAAATTTTCAATTATCACGATTTGAATGTTTTTAGAACATGTAAGATGCTCATTATTATTTGTGGATTGTAGTTGTAAATTATTTTTTAAAAATAATACGTACAGGTTTACTGGTATATTTGCTTAACCTTTATATTTAAATGTTGAACGCAACCACAGTGTGGTAAGAAAAAAAAAATGTGTTTATACGTGACTATTATTATTTGCTATACGGATGTTTTTTTAACTCAGAATAGGTCTTATGTAAATGGCTAATTAATCACGAAGTGTAGTTTGTCTTAAAAATGTAAAGTATGTATTTTATTTTGAATTTCTTATGTGCCTTCTAATTGACCTGGAAATCTGTTGTTATTGTTAGTTTTTATTATATATTGTCTTGTATCTGTGATAAAAAATGGATTATCGGCGTGTAATTTAGAATATATATAAAACTACCATAGTACCCGTTAATTTTTTTTTATTTACACAGATCACCTCATTGTTATATGTTTTTTGACTAAAAATTTAATTTAATTCTTTTTTTGACGAAATTTACACATGCCAACAAAATAACTGTAATAATAGTTAAGAGGACGTCACACCCGTATGTGTTGTCTTCGTCTGACATACCTACAACATAGCAAATTTGCGTTCAGTGATTTAAATGTAGTGAAATTAGTTTTAATATTAGAGTAAACTTATAATAACTTATAATGAAGTATATAATAAAAATTTTTAAGTGTGTTATGAGTATATGAAATATTACATTTAAAAAAACATCATAACTTGCTAAAAAATTTAAATATCGAAAAAAAGCGATTAACAAAACATAGATAATGTTTTTCTCTTACAGTTTGATTATAGGTCAGTTTATTTAAATATTAAAGCTAACTTCACTACATTTGAATCACTGAACGCAAATTTTATATGTTGTACATATGTCAGACAGAGACAACACATGCGGGTGTGACGTCCTCTTAATAACTGATTTTTTCATATGTGTTTATATTAAGGTACTAAAAATACCTATAACCGATTTTGGGAGTTGGTAGTATGAGCCTATCAATAGATTTCAACGGTTTCAACCATTGACACTAACCTCTAGGTAATGCGGATCATTTTACAATAACCTCGTAAGAATCAATCTCATACTTTTTGAGTCTATTAATTTCAAATCTACCAATATATTTTTTTATATATAGAAATGGTAAATAATAAATAATATATAGAAATATATAGAAAGAGCAAGACTCTTAGGTTGGACAGGACTATATTCTGAGGGGTGATACAATTATGGGTGAATGGTATTGCTATATTAGTCTATACAAAATAGTTTATATAATATTATATAAACTTGAAAACAATGTACCGTTGCTCTCAAAAAATCGATTCTGTGTAAAAGAAGTTGGGTATATTACTTCATAATTAATAATATGGTTGATATATTAAAAGAATGAAATATTTTAGTGGGGAAAGATGAACTTTTAATATTCTAACTTTTGTGAAAAATAAAGGATCTAAAATTTTAAAAAAATCGAAAATTTCAAGAGCATATAAACAATACAAGGTCCATTAAAATAACTCGAAACTAGAAAGTGTCTTTAATTAAATTAGTATTATTATTTAATGGACATTGGTATAAACAGCTAAAAAAAAAATCTTTTGGAAATTATGCCATCTGTAACAAACGATGATAAAAGCATTCAGTGAAAATGTCATGTCTTCACAATTATTATTTATTGAGTTATGATAAAAACAAAAATTTGATTGGTCGAAAATCGGTATGTTATATATTTTTGTGTATTTTTATATTTTTTTGTCAGTTTTTCATAAATATTAAGAAAACTGCTTAGAAAATTGTAAAATAACTGCCTTCAAAGTACCAAATAGATAACAATTCTTATGACTGTGATGATCGAAGCAATCTTGGTCGAAATTGTGACAAAAAAAAAAAAAAAATACATATACATATTATGGTCAAACTAATATATTTCTCGTTTCACTTAGAATATAATACTTGGATTTTTTTTATTTATATTGTAACAAGAGATCGAATCTTTAGAACTGACTATCGTTTATTGAGTTTAATTTTCAACTTTGCAGTGGCTTTTATTTTTTTTGCGTAGAACACTATAGCATTTTATTACCGTAGGATAACCCCAAATTGCATTATAAAGTGTAATATGAACTACACATTTTTAATATTATTTTTTTTTCATAAATTCAAAACACAGGAATAGTTGGTGAGTTTGACTTAAAATAAAATATAAAATTTACTCTGAGCTGTAACTTTAAAAGTAGAAAGTAAAAGTACTGTATAATTTTACCTGTGCACATACTGTTTAGAATTGATTGTAATTTTTAGATAGTAGTCACTACTGCGTTATTCAATAGATATTACGTTAGGTATATTACAAAATACCAATATTTTTATTTTTTTTTGAATAATTCAAAAAACTTGATTAAAAATGTCAACTAGAATTGATTTAAAATATCTTGACTATTGATGTTTTAAAATAAATTATGATTACACATTTGTATTAAATTAGTATTTATTGTACGCATTGATTATTTTGCAACTTTATTTTCACTTTAGGTTTATTATACGTTTTGCATTTTAAAACTGTGAACATTGGAAATTTATTTTAATTTTGTATTATTTTGATAAAATTCTTGTATGGCTATGTGTAATAATCTCAACGGATAAAATATTTAAATTTTCATTGTTACTTACTTTTTTACTCGAATGTTTATGATACTTATTTGGGTGTAACATGCACGTATATCTGTCTACTGCCATGAAAACCAGGATCATAGCATTTTGTTGTGGCAAAGCTGCCCTCAGTAGTGCCTAAATAAACATAAAAAAAAAATTACATATTTATATCAAAAAGTACCCTTGTAAATTTAAGTATAGTTCACTACAGTGATTATAAAAAACTTTTTTTATGGTAGTTGAAAACAATGTTATAGAAAATAATACTTATATTTTATTTTATTATTATTTACTTACTATTATTTATTATAATATTTTATTTATATTTATTTTTTATTTATTATTATTTACTAAAATCGTATTATTTAGTTACCTAATGTAACGATTGTTAACCTATCTGTGAAGGGTGTTATAAATTGTATTTCAAAAGATATTTGATTTTCACCTTATTACTATTTTTTGTTTGTACATACATTTTTTGAATTTTAGTTGTCGTTGAAAGGAAAAGAAAAAATGAATTTTTTTATAATTATCAATGAAAATTAAAACAAAAATAAAAATTCAAGAAACTACTTGAGTAAAATCCTAGATTTCGGGCCTTTATAACTTAATCGCAATATTTATAATTTATTGAAGATTTACTTTGAATATTATTTTCTGGAAATTCAAGCGTATTAATTTTTTTGATATTTGGAGTGATCTGTTTGTATATGTCAATATTCCATGAACTATGACCTCATTTATTTATGTTCTGAATGTTATATTTTTTATTCAAATAGAGAAATATTAAATATAATATGAAATTAAACAAAGTCACCAAAAATCCAAAACTCATCGCCTGTATTTACGTTCATCAAAGAAACCTTGGTTAACGAGAGCTTGTTAGACGATCGTTTAGTACCCATCACGTGCTTTGGTTATTCGAATACAGAAATAGAAATCGACAAATTCGTATAATAAGTCCATCTTATTCGTATAATAGATCCGGTCAAACAGAAAGCGGACTGTCCGCGCCTGGTCGCTGGTCCGCCGTGTATTAGTCCACCGGTCTGCTAATGGTAAAACAGAATGCAGACAATTTAAGCGAACCAGTTTGAAAACAGCAATAAAGTTTACTGCTGGTTATTTTTTATTTTTACTTTTTCACTTAAGCCTTAAGTCAAACAAGAAAAAAAAAGAAAATGGCTTTTAAATGCATCTTTATAATCTGGATGACTTATATCATACAATTAAATGCATTCTCGCACAAGATCAATCAATCGTTCCGTTTCATCAGCCATCGTTCTTTTTCGGTGCACTGTTTTAAATGAAGTACTTCATTTCAATTTATAGTTAATACACAATATTATATCAAAACAAGTTATTTTGATGTTGTTATTAATATCGTTGATACATTTTCTAGAATTTATTATTAGTTTAATTGAAGGTTTCTAAGAATTTTGATTCTAATAATATTATACTTGATTAGTATAGTATAGTTATGTTATTAAAATATTATTAGTTATTATTATTATATTACCTATATATTATATAATCTATATTTAAAATATAATATATTGTTTTTATTATGTATAATGTATACATTTTATTTGAGTTCGCCGCGAACTATTTGAAAAAATACAACCCGTTTGTCCGCAGCGGACTATATTAGTTCGCTGCGGTAGGCCGCCATCTGTTTAATCAGTATGATGTATTTAAATAGTGTACACGGTCCGCGGTGGACCGGCGGCCTGGCCACGTGGACAGTCCGCTTTTGTCTGACCGGACCTTTATACAATATGTGTGGAGAGTTGTATGTAGTCGTAAAATAGAAACTATATATTGATATTCTGGTTTGTAGTGGTTTGTTGTTATTTTTATTGTTACTATTGCATTGACGTCAAACAAATGATTTTATTCTTATTGGCCAACGTAGTTATTAATTTAACTCAATAAATAAATTGATTTATAATTTAATGTTGAAGTATTGTACTAAGTTTGAATTTCAATAGCTATATAAAAATGTATAATTTTTGAAATTTACCATGAACTTTGCAGTTTTTTCTTCGCGTACCGTTCAAATTCAGAACATTATTAGTAAATGTGACCTCTGTAAATTTGAGAACACAGTAATTTTAAATTTATATAGACTATTTTAATAAATCATACACGTTCCTATTTAACTATTGCCATGAATAAGTATCTAGGCATCAATAACTGGGCAAAACATAACTGGATATTTAATTAATTATATTATAATATAAATATATATATAAATATATAGATATAATACTTAATTAAACTCATTGGTTAATGACTAAATTCAAGAAAATATGAAGCTACTTCAATAGTTCAATACTTTAAAAATCACGAAGTTTGCTACCAAAATCCTGTTATGGCAGAGATACGGAACAGTTGGATTTTTTTATTTATAGAAAAATAGGAATTTGCGATTTTCTATATAGTGAAAAATACAACCTCTTGCTTGCTACAGATAATTACGACTAGACTCATGGGAAAAGGGTGACAAGTTGTAGATAAAAGACTATTTAATAACTGCATTAGAGAATTTTTGAAATTAAGTTTAAAATCACAGCGTACTTGTATTTAGAGTTATACGCAGGAAAGAAAAAGAAGTACTAAAATGTTTGACGTATTATTGATGCATATTAAAGAATTTCTGACACTCATAATTAAACAAGAAACAGCAGAATTATTATCCCCAGAAATAGTAAAGACATTGGGAAAAATAAAAGAATTGTCAAATTAAACAAGTTTTCATGGAAAGCTTGAGATCATTAAAAGGGTCCATCAGTGCAAGAAATTTACCTTTTTTAAAAAGTACCATATAAGTAGTCCGTACCCAAAGAAAAATCACACTCATAGTTATAACATTCTATGTAGAGTTAACAAAAATCTTGTAAACATAAAGCCGATAAGAGTACTTTTTCCAATTGATAATATGTGCATTAGTATGATTTGTATTAATACAAAAACAATCATCAGTACGAATATACCATATTGTTGTCACGACAAATGTTTACTGTTAATAATAGACGATGTACTGGTGATAAGAATTATGGTCATTAAAATTATTGCAAATTAATTAATTTGAAACAACTCTATTGTTAAATTAACAATAATTGCAATGATTCTGCAAAATTTTCTATTTTTTTTTCAATTTTCATAATTTATGGTGTGATTAACTTAAGGTTAAAAAAAAAAAATATCTTCTCCACAAGTATGCCACTAGTACTAAAACCATTTGGTAGCATCGGAATTCGTTCTACCATTATCTGTTAATCATTCAATTTTTTGGAATAATAGCAATTAGTAACAAGCAATATTGAATAATGATATAAAATACTAATTAAAAACAGTAAAACATTGTGAAAGTGATTATAATAACTTCTATGGTCAACTTTCGAACTAAACGTTCTATGTAAAAACATTAATTGAATACATTTTTAACGAACGGAAGGCAATAAATTGAATAATTGTATTTGAATGTTGAACACTATCAATTTTATAATTATTTATACGCTTTAATAATATAGATAATATACAAAGTAAATTTGTAAACTACTGTTGGATATTGATATAAACAATAATTATACACCTATGTTCCACATCTCTGATATTAATATCAAGTTAAGTGCAAAAAAAATATACTCATTGTTATTAAATTAAAATGTTTATAACATTTAAGTGTAACATACATTTAATTAGAGATGTGAATGACAATAATACTAAAATATGTATCAAATCATTTATTTATATACACGTAATATACATTTGTATAATAATCATTTATCTTTACTCATACCGTTTTTAAACAATAATTTTGAAAAATGGAAAATAAATTAAATTTGTTTTGTTATGAAATATTTAAATCATATTGCATTAATTAAAATTACCTTAATGAAAATTTGATAACAGCTTTCCAAACATGTGTTTTACGGTAGTTTATAATATTATATTACATTATATGAGTAGTATGTATATATGTAATATATCTTATTTAATTTAAATTATATTTTTTTGGTATTTAAAAGAGTTTGGAGTCTTTGGAGCTGCCATGTCGAATCATGTCATGGGTGAGAATTTACACTATGAATTGGTGTTAATGGATATTTAAAATTATGAACTAAAAATTAATAGAGATTCGTTGGATATTTGGAAAATTTGTTTTTTATTATTGTAAATGAAAATATTTTTTTATTAATTTTTGTTTTAGAATATTAAAAATCATGCGCAATTATTGCAAAATATTCATAATAGTCATAAAATTAAAGCTGCATGTCCCCAGCCCTCCCACCACGGACTTTCGAGTTCAAAGTTTTACAGTCGTTTATGCTTCGTTTGTAGCTTGTTTGTGCTTTTTTTTCCGTAGTTTGTGCTTAACCCGTTTTCGAGTTATCGAATTTTCAAGGTGGGGAGGCTGGGGACATGCTCAGCCCTCCCATTACCTCGAACTTTCGAGTTCAAATTTTTACAGTCGTTTGTATTTCGTTTGTGCTTGTCTGTGCTTTTATTTCCATCGTTTGTGCTTAACCCGTTTCCGAGTTATCGAATTTTCAAAGAGGGGGGGGGGGGCTAGGAACATGCTCAGCCCTCCCACGACCTCGGAATTTTGAGTTCAAATTTTTACAGTCGTTTGTATTTCGTTTGTGCTTGTTTGTGCTTTTTTCTCGTCGTTTGTGCTTAACCCGTTTCCGAGATGTTAAACATTGAAGGAGGGAGGGGCCTAAGGACTTAGCCTCCCCACTAACTAATTTTTTATTTCATATTGATCTGTTCGTTTATTCCATGTTTGTGCAGATTTGTGATCAAACTGCAGTAGAAAATTCTGATTTACTTGGGTTTTTTTTTTATAATGACCCACTTTATTTTTTTAAAATTAATTTAAATATTTTAAATATTAACATTTTTACGTGTATTTTAAAACAATAAGAGCTCTTCTCTCTAAAGCTCCGAAGTGATATAATTATTATTGATGAATTTTCATTTTGAAAAAAACTTCTATTATAATATCATAACACGTTTTTAAAATTGTACGAAACCTTTTTTATTTTGTCATTTTTAAATTTGGGTAGACGTTTAAGCAACCATTTTATCCGACCACGGAATTTTAGATGTGACAGGCTACTGCGAATTCGCACTGAAACTTATACGTACCTACATGTCTAACTGTAAACACGGTTTGTAAACAATACTTTTGAAAAAGTATTAAGATACTAATACTAGTATTCGAATAAAAAGTATTAAAAATATTTTTAAAATACTATTATAAAAATGTATTTTACGAATACTCACAAAGTATTTGAATACAAATCCAAGTATTTTTTTAATTTTATGCTATATAATGTATATGTATATTGTACACCAGTATAGGTACCTATCATGTTACTATTTTCCATAAATCTTAATAATTATTATAATATATCTGACTATTTAGAGATAAATATATTTGCATACTTTTTTTATTATTGTTAAATATAGCAGAGTGCAAAATAAATTCGTTTCTCGGTGCCATGATATCAGATCTAAAATTTGAAAGTAGTGTATTGCATGTATTATATATATTATATATATAAATATATATATATATTTTTTGCATGTTTGATAGCTTTTGCAGGAGAGTGCATATTTTAAAATTTTTATGCTTATTTTGCATACTTTGACAAATTTTTCAAATTTCAAATTATAAACTATATACACATATTTCATCCAATCGAAAAAAAAAATGTATTAAGAGGACTTAATACTTCCAATAATATATTATCTGCAAATTACCTCTCATATCTTGCTATAATTTTTGTTTAAGTATAAATAATACTATAACCCCGTATCGACCGTATAACCCGCTGGATATCAATCGGATGTCGATAAAGATAATAGTAGATATAGAATAATAGATTATTTGTTTAGTGTTCAATTCAGTCGATTATTATCCGTCGTTGTTTTTGCGTCTCGCAACCACACAACGTCGATTCATACGTAAAACGTCGTACGCATATATAAAAAAATTGGTTAGTGGGGAGGCTAAGTCCTTAGGCCTCTCCCACCTTTAATTTTTAACATCTAGGAAAAGGGTTAAGCACAAACGATGAGAATAAAAGCACAAATAAGCAAAAAGAAATACAAACGACTGTATAAATTTGAACTCAAAAGTTCGAGGTCATAGGGGCTGGGGACATGCAGTTTAAAATTTAGTAGGTAGCGTTCAAAAGTGTATTATTATAATTTGTGATGGGTACTTATTATACTATGTCAACATTAAATTTCGTATAAAACAACTTTTAGACTCAACTCAACTTTATGCGTGTTTCGGTTTGGTGTATCTCTTGCAAGTTTTTTCAAATCATAATTGACGAATCGAAACAAAAATATTGTTCTGAATAGTTTTGATGACCACGATCGCACCACGGAACGTAATAATAAATTTCCGGATTACGTTTTTGAAAGTGTATTTTTCGAAGACTCGTATACCATACACCGGGAATGGATGGCTCGGAAAAATGATACATTAGAAAACAAGATTATGGGGGTGACCATAATGACGGAATCGTAGACGAGTTGGACGCGGGTCGGTCTTAATGAATCACGTCAGTGCGATGAGTATACTTGAAAGAAATCTTGTACTCCGACCAGTGTTGAATATTAAAAGGATGACCTGCAAGAGCGATTACTCGATTAAGTCGTCCTAAACGGTCGAACTCGGCGCGTGTGATAATGATGGATAAGGGCTTGGCGAAAACCGAAAAAAAACAAACACAAATGAAATTCCATCTTTTTAAACTTGCGCCAGTGAATCAATTGTACCTGCTGTATCCGTTAGCGCGAGTTTCGTCTGAATAACGACGCGCTGAATGTTAAACAGGCTCAGTGTAGTTATTTCGAATATCTATTTTTCATGTCCTTCACTCATTGGCACTTGTGAAAGTCAGAGATGGTTGTCTATTTTGATCACGGCCGTTCGCCTGAAAATTAATAGACTTGAGTATTTACGCGCTGTTGTCAATCGATGTTTTTAAAGTGCGGGCATGTATTGCATGTGGATGAATTTATATATTCTACTAACGCACGAATTCGTCGAATTCCAAAGGTATCACGTTGTCCCTTTTCCGTGCTCTCCTCGTTCTGTCCACGGCATATGTAGTTATCGTATTCATCGGCTTTCATGCTCACAACACATTGTGTTTCGTTCAACTCAGATTAGTTTATTGTTGCCGACCGTTGCCCCTCGTAAGTCGATTCGTCAAAATGTAATTCCAAAATTTTGCTAGTTTTATTACATACATTACGACCACCAACTGATGATAGTATTATTATATATACCCTTCTACTGGAAAATGCTACCGCTCGTAATGGGATCATAAGCGGATTTCGATAATGGGCTTTCCAATATATTATCGGAATGGTCTTGGCTATACATCTCGTGGGAAATATAATATACGCTGGAAAGTGTCTTAATAATTTCCCTGGGACGTGTAAAGGCTCAATGCCGCATACCCTGGTATAGTAATTTGGCTAGCATTAAGTATCGTCTATCGGTCTATATAAAAATGAATAGATTTAGGATAGTAGTGTTATTGGAAATAGTTTTACTTTATACGTGTATATATAAGGATATATAATGTAAAGACCAAGAGAGTGAACTATGCTCGTGAACTGAATAAGATCGTTCTATTCGATATGAATAAAAGGTTCTTTAAAATAAATATACTCGATGAATAGTTATATTTTAAAGTATTTCACCCATAGGTCCTATTCAAGAACCATATAATAGTTGCATTCGTCATCTATATTTCTGCAGTGTCGTTGAGTTATTTTTAAATAAATTTTACTACACGAAGTGTAATAAATAAATTAACAATATCATCGTATTGATGTATTTGTACGTGTTACACAATACGATCAATAATTCGACCACATTCGTTTTCAAACGTATTATACGAGATTATATTGATAATAAATAACATGTTATTTGTGAAAGTCTTGTAAGTAAATAATATTATTATTTTGGTCCTTTTAATATAAATGTCCATGTACTTAGGTATGCGTTTTATTATTTAAGTAAAACGCAATTTTCATATCTATATTAGGCGTTGATGTTATTTATTCGAGTTTAATTCGGTTCTTCAATTGTATTCTATAAACATTATTACACTGTTCAAAATCATTGTACCATTACTTTTGGAAAAGTTTGACGTCCTTTTTAGATGATCGATTCAGATATTTCTGTTATTTCACGGTTTGAAAATTATGTAAAAAATGTACTAACAAATAGTCTACATAGAAAAACTTTTTTAAGTAAAAAAACTCCAAGAATAACTAGGTTAGGAAAAAAAATATATACTATATTCTGATTTGTATAGTTTACATTTACACTTAAAATATACCCTTTGGAGTTGCTGTATAAAATATAAGATAAAAACGAACCATTTAAAAGTTATAAAAATAAAATAAATTAAAGACTACAGTTCATCAATACTTCACATTGCCAATTATATTTCTATTAATATTTCTTATTTATTTCACGTTGATTTTATGATTATTTATCAACTATATACGCGCACTATAATTGTTTAAAGGGCAATAAAAAGAGCTAATTATAATAAATAATTTATAGTTCATATGTAAGAAACATTTTCATTTAAAATTTTCATATAATTGTTTGTCGTCTATCTTATTTTCTTGTAAACTTGAATATTTATATGTATATATTTATATGCATATTTTTTTGTTGTTTATACATTTTTTACAAATAGATAAGACAAAATAAGCTGATATTAATAGTATAATAAAAATATATTTATTTTAAAATATCTGTTTTTCACAGGTACACGAATTGAAATAGCTTAAGTACTTCATATTACATAAAAAATAATACGCATGTATCAGCTTACTTGAATTTGACATATAATTTCAGAGTATGGCCAACAATGAACCAAGGCTGAAAAAGCAGCTAACGGCGTAACTAGTAGTCCGATGGCTAGGTCATTGCAAGCGAGCGATGTCACTAAGTACCGAGGCTGGAAAATAAAAAAAAATAATTCTATTCAGTATACATACATTTCTTATAATTTTAGGTGTGTATTGACGTGAAAAAGTAGAATCGATGTAGAATATAATATATTATGTGCACGGTGGGCAGAAAAAGAATATATTCGGAGAATTGGTATCGGTGAATCTATTTGTTGTTTTTTTTTTTTTTGGTCTTTCAGGTTTAGAAATATTATTTTTATTTTTATTTTTCTTAAAATAATGTCAATAGTGAACAACGAATGCGTTGGAAATTTGCGATTTTGAAATTGAAAAAGCTTTGTATAAGAGATATTTTTAATGAGTGAACCGTGAGTTGGCTTTATTTGTTTATGTCTTCTTATTCATAGCGGTACATCCAACACGGGTCGCGGTACAATGGTCCAAAGGAAATATGTTTTCTCGTCAACTATAAAGTTACACTACCTTTAAATTAATACGTAATTTTACCTGTGGATGAATGAATTTCGTGTATCTGTCGCTGTTAATTGTAACTATTACCATCAGATTAGCAACAAGGATGGCTAACGTGAGCAATGAGACGAATGCACTTTCCGTAATGCCGGAAACGGTTATGCGAAATAGCAGACCGTTGGGGTAGATACGTGGATGCCAGCAACTGCTATTGTATAAAAGTGGAGCTGTTAGTACCGTTGACCTGCCAGCCCTCATTTTCTTACATGGTTTAACACTAGAAAAGAAAATATGACCATAAAATTATTATGCAATTTATTATGATTTTTATTTTAACATCAAACTCGCTTAATATTATATGACAATATATGTTATCTTGTGATTGATTTTTCACTATTTGTGGAGCAGACACTGCAATAGCAATTTAAATTAATAATCCGTATTTTAAATACTCGGTACATAAGAAATTTAAAAGGCACTATACAGGATATAATATTATACATTATATTATGTAAAGATATGAATCCGTAAAATACTAAAATTTATGTTGTGCGATATCTACGTACTATATTATATGGTATACGCTTTTATGTTAAATCTTTTTTTTCTGTGATAAATCTGACCCACAGTATTATAAAAATCGGTAGACTAGCGTGCGTATTCATCCTATATGTAAGCATATGTATTTTACTGAAAAACGTAGGTGACCATAAAACATTAATCAAAACAGGACTTTTCCGTTATCAACGGGTTCTTTGATTTTACAATTAAAAAAACAGACGGATGTTCAAATTTAGTTTTCAGTTTAACGATATTCTATGTAATAAGATATATGAAATATTCGGATAATTTTAAGTATTGTCGAATATTGTAAATCATATATCCATAGATTCTACTGATTTTTCATTTTCAAGCACATTCCAAAATAAAAAAAAAAATTAAAAAAAATTTTCTTATAGGGTTTAGTTACAATAATTATTTTAATTTTTCATATCATTTTTGAAATTAAAAAAAGACGTTTTTAATACTTCCGTTTTTGCTGTTCAGGAATAAATACAGCTTGAATTATTTCTGAATTTAATTCTTATTGGCCATATAATGTATAATGAGTTGACTTTATTTTCATTTTAAACTTTGATCATTTCCATGTACATTCGTCTTCCAGATCAATTTCAATTTTTATGATTTTCATAAAAGATACATATAATATATAGATATATTTATATATATTATATGCATATAATGTGCTAATGCTATTATAATATATTTTTTATAATATTATATGGTTACAAGTTTATTTTTAGATTTGAGTGAAGTGATGACTATATTTTTTATAATAAGTTTCATTTTTAATAAAATAATTTGATAAATTGTTTATACATTTTTTATTTTTATTCCTATTTTTGTCAGAATTGACCTTTTTTTTTCAATTGATTTTTATTAAAAGTAATATATGCATAATATTTTGATTTTAAATTATACAATGATTATTTTTTTCCATGCTACTTAATTAAATCTGTTTTAATAAAATTTTCAAAAATATTCGAGTCACGATTTTAAAATTAGAGTATATGAATTTTTTCTTAAAATTAATTAATTTTTTTGATTACAAATAATACAGATATATACTTTTTTAACCTTTATACTTAGCTACAAAGTTATAAAATAATTTAAATAATATTGTAAGATAAATAACATTATACATAACATGTATGATAAACTTATTATTAATATGTTATACATTTTGCTATAATAAGTTATTAACTATTCTAATTATTGTTAAAATAACCGTAACATGACAATAGTGGCAAGCTTTGTCTTATAATATTGAGAATACCTATATCTAAATCATTGATGCGATTTAAAACTTTTTAATGTTGGTGGATAGTAAGTATGGTGTATTAATATTTTTCTCGTATTCTGTTCTATTTCAAATAAAGATTACAAGAGAATAGTGAGAGTTAACAGATTCTAAAATGTAATATATAAATAAATATATAGAAAATATATAGAAATAAAAAAATAAATAAAAGTTTAGTCTGGAGTATTATTATTATGTTTTTAAATTACGGCCAGTTTCGAATTAAAAATGCATCGTCATGTCAAAACAGTTAATAAAATCGCGACTACTACGAGTATTCTTAGTCATACTTTACAAGTATAATAATACTTCAGGCTAAGCATTTATTTATTAATATATATTTATGTGTAAACTATTTGTATATTAATTTACAAGTATTAACAATTTAATAATTTTTAATTTTAATTTTATTATCTAAAAGGTAATTAAGAATGTTTAACTGAGATTTTTGATAAACGTCTATTCGATGGTTAAATATTTCTGAAAGTAAAAAATACCATTTACATTTATTTCGTTTCTTAATTTAAAAATTAAGTATAATTTATATAAGTATGTAGTATGTATTCATGTCATCGTATTAATTATTATAAAAGTATGTGAAATATTTAATTAGGCTTATTGAAATATTGGTTTTGTATTACAGAAGAAGTATAAAATTATAGTTTTATCATACCACTAAAGCTATTCTTTCACAAAACATTTAAAAGTGGAAAAAGTAATAGTTTGTGTTTTATAAGAATTAGTGAAGATAAATGGCTCGACGAAGCTTTAAATGCTCCTAACATATTATGTTATCAAGAACATATGATAGTCATAGGCGCCGTGTTTTAAATAGAAAGAATGTAGACTGAAGGGAAAATTCTATCAAAATTAAATTAGAATAATAAATCTTGAAATTGTATTTATGTTATAACTGATTTTGATTTATATCATAAAAATTAAATTAATTAAAATATATTTAAATAATGGAAGTGTATATATGTCATATATTTAATAAACATTTGAATCACATATCCATTATATGCATTATTATAGTAACTTTAAAATTAGTCACGATTAGATTTTTTTTTTAATTTTAATTTTTTTTTTATTAATTGCTGTTAGTGAAGCAAAATAACAGTTTAGTTATAATTATAATAATATATACAAATTTCTCGAAATTAAATTTGTTGCATATAAATTCTATCATTAATTTTAAGATATTTAAATTAAGTAAATTAAATACTTATAATAATAAATAATATAATAATATTAATTATAATATTATATATAATAATAATATTATTATATTCATTGTGAATATACTTATAGCTTAATAAATCAACAATCGTCAAAAAATATACATTAACTATTCAATATAATACAATTGTTCTTTTAAAGTTCGTAGACTTCACTTTGTAGCATTAGTATACCTATATAATTGTATTTTATTTATGTGTACAAAAGGTGAAAGTGTTTTTAACAGTGGTAAATTCTATAGTAACAATTTTATTATGTGTTCAAGTATAGTTACAAAAATGGGACCACGAATTAAATACTAGATAACTTCATAAATAGTTTTTTGGTATAACTATAAAAGATTTAAGAAATCAGTTTTTTGTAGTATTTTGTAGGAACTTTAGTTGTTATTTATTAATTATTTTTCACTCAATAACTTTTTAAGAACTTCAAGTTTAACTTAAGTTACTTATTTTATAATTATTAGAGAGTTAAATGAGAACGAAAAAAAAGCCTAAAATCTTTATCTAAGTAGCATTTAAGACAAAGATTCCGATTGTCTTAATTAGTGCAAGTTAGTACTGTAGACCAGGTTTAAATTTTCAAATATAGATATATTTTTTAGGGTGTTAGAATGAAAAAACTCGTAGCAAATTAAACATATATTTTGTTTTTAACATTTTTTATTTTTTAACAATACTTTTTTTAATTGCTTGTCTTTTAAAGAAAATAATTATTCTTTAACTCTATTAAATTTATTTACATTTTTTTTTCATTCTTGGATTTTTATTTATTTATTTATTTGTTTGGAAGCATTTAAAAGTACAACTGCTTTTTAGAATTTTTCGATCACAAGTTTATTACTACGGTATGATACTTTACATATTTTTCATAAGTTGTATATAATTATATCTTCATATTAAAGTGATTGTAAATTAATATATTTTCATAAATTTCTGAAATTGATTTGGATATGCAATTCACCAGTTAGTAACCAGTTCATTGAATTCAGTTTTAAAGTTTAATATTTATTCATTTTTTTGAAAAGTGTATGGTTCAAATTGATGTCATATAAATTTGTTACACTACATAATAAAATAATAAAATCATGTTTGTTATGTTATATTTAGAAGTTTTTTGTTACGTACTTTACTTCTCAGCACAATTTACTAAAATATTCTTATTAAAATTATTCATCATCTGTATTTAGTTTAAATATAATAAAATATACCTTTATGCATGTTTTGAGTATAATATATTGTTATATGTATATGTGTTAATGTTATTTAAATATATGCATAACACGATAGTTTATTAAGTCAATAATAACACCGAAGACATTGTCGTATTACTATCATATTGAGTATGTATATGTGTTTTTTTTTTAATAATTTTGTGCTCGACGAGTTAAAGTAAATTTGAAATAATTGAATTGAAAAAAAAATGATTGTGATAAATGAAAATAATGGTCATGAATAAGTTGAAATTTTAAGATTATTAACTGTATACGTTTTAAGTATGCTATATTTTCTTCGTCGATAAAGGAGTTTAACCACATGTAGTGCGAAAAATATTTTAGAATTTGATCATTAATATTATTTAGTGTACAACGTCGGCGACTATTTGGTTCGCGTGAAACTTTCTTCGTACGATGTAAGATATAAATGACTAAAGGATTAATGAGACATTGATGGTTTATCATTGTAATATAGATGTACAATTATTATTATAGTTTCATACAGTATGATGGTTATCTGCCGGGAGTATTGTCCGATTGCGATTTAATTGTAAACCGTCTAACGAGCAGTCAATACTCTCTAGCAGACATTTATGTTATATTTTACATTACTACTGGTATATTTATCGTACATAGTACATCGTATTGATTCCAGATTCGTTCATGTATACATATTATTAAAAAAAAGACAAAAGTAAATGTAAACGTATAGGTCCTATACTATAGGAGTTAGGAATAAACGTTGGGCTTGAGTCAGGGGTTTCGGATGCTAAATCGTAAAAGGTTTCATTTTATTGAAATAAATTTAAAAATCAACTATTAGCCAATAGTTAATATTTTATTCGCAACCATACACTGCAAGTGTTTTTCGTACAAGGACTAGTCTATTATATTAACAATATATTTTTACGAAGAAACTGAAATATTTTTCATCGATGTTAGATTTTATTTTAAGCGAATA